GATAATATTATCAGAAAAAACCAAATTTATGACAACATCTAAATACCCACTATGGTGTAAAATCCAAATTGAATAAAGCAGGGAGTAAGGTTTAGATATCTGGTAATAGATATAACTAGTTACGGAGATGTTGAAGAAGTACGACAACAAAGCTTAAAAGCAAGTAAAGCGGCGGGTTTTCTTAATGACACAATCTGGAAGAACAAACACCTAAGACAAGGCACAAAACCAAGAATCTATAAAGCAGCAATTAGACCTGTATTAACATTTCACGGCGGAGACAAGACCTGACACATCTAAAACGAGACGATTGCTAGAAACAACAGGGATGAAAATACTCCGACGAATATCAGGGAGAAGTCTGTTGGATAGAGAGAGAAGCGAAAACATAAGAAGAGCATGCAATATAGACATAAACGGATGGGTGACAAAACTAAAACAGGCGTGGAACGAACATATCAGTAGAATGGCAGAGGATAGAATAGTACGAATAGCACGAGATAATTTACCAAATGGACAAAGAAGTATTGGCAGACCAAGAAAAAGATGGTGCTACACTTTAAACAAATTAGGAGGCTAATATTGAAGAAGAAACAGGCTTTAAAGCCTACATACTAGAAGGAAGAAGAAGAAGAAGTTTTGTAAATATTAATTTTCTTATTCTTATTCCAATTTAAATTCCAGAAAATTTAACCAACAATCAAACTTAATTAATTAAATGGTAACTGATGTAAAACTGTCATAATAAAAAAAATCAAAAATTCTTTCCGTCACATGAATTAGTCAAAAGTCAACGTAATATCTGGCATACTTTTTGAGATCTTTAAAGTTTTAGAATGATCTGCCTAAAATCTAAAACTGTAACAATGTGGCTTTAACAATTTAATCAGAAATCTAAAAATTTAATATTAGAAAGGGTAATCTACTTAAAGCAACAAAGTCATATTATGCCTTGTCTACAAGAAACATCTTGATAGTTTGACGTACAGTTGACTTAAAATAAGAATTGAAGAATGATCCGCCACCAGTGGGAAACACAAAAAAACGGTATAAGATCTACTCACCAGTTGTATGACATTTAACCTTACGCCCTTTCGTCGAACAAGTCCACAAAACGCAATTTGATTTTAGAGTCTAGAGTCGTCCACGTTGGCTCAAAACGTAGTCAATGAGAAATTCACTATGTTAAAGGAACAAGATCAAATGAAAAGAAATGTTTCTTTTCTCGTAGTTTTAGGTAGCTTTTAATAGAATTATATGAATATTAATTAATACATCTATCAATATAATAATTATACATCAATTATAATAATTAATACATCTATTTTAGTCAAACTAGAGTCTTAGGTAGGCTAGTGATGAGTTTACCAATCTCTCGAGGTCTATTTTAAAATCTCTACTTTTATGGCGGTGATGAGTTTGTACCATGTATGAGCGTATTTATGCCAATTGGTGATGAGTTTACGTGTACCCGTATAGGACATAGTCAATTCTCACAATCTTAGGTAGTTTTTATTGTAATTAAATAGTAGGCTACCGGTTTCGAGGCTTACAGTATATGCCTCATCATTAGGCCACAGTACAAAGGTCTTTGTTTTATTAAAAATTGAAAGCTCGAAACAACATGAAATAAACAATGAACACACAATGCAAAACAAAAGTTAAAGTCAAAACAAAATTAAATTATGCCAGCAACTATAACCTTAATTGCGTAAAAAAGTCGGTATTATATATAAAATGTCAATTTAATAAGAACTTTAATTTATAAGAGAATTGGCCCAATATATATTTTTATAATTGATATAAATTAAATTTATACCAATATACTCACAAAGTGGAGTACTTGGAGATAACCAAATTGTGGATTATCTGAAAATTGTTTATTTTATACATCTTCGTGTAAAACCTCTAGGGTTAAATGAGCCATATAACCTCCGTGAATCAGTACTTCCGTCAATGTTAACATAAATCGGGCTATCGGCAGCAATTTTTCGAATTTTTCTTATGGTCTCATCGTGGCAAATTTCGATATATTTTTTTTTCTCATGGCACTTTCAAAGGGAATGTTAAATTTAAAATATTCTAATTATGAATGTGTTGCTTGTGTGAGTACATTTCAAATAAGTAAAAAAGAAATAAATTAGACTTACTTACAATCAGTTTAATTTAACTAACTAGCCGACCGATTTCGCTTTCTACAATTTGCAAAGCATCTTCAGGTCAGTCGATACAAAGTTAATTAAATGCTGAAATAATAAAACCCATATTAGGGTGCTGTCTTATAAAGATAAACATAAAGATAAAATAATATGAATTACAGTAATTATGCCAATATTACATTTCTATGGTTTTTAATAGATATGAATAAACTGTTTAAGCAGACAAAGTAATACCCACAAATAGAAACATATGTTGACGATGGCTTGCAGCTTTAGAGCAAGTTTGACAAAATAGTTTTCTCCATCCAGCTTTAATTTAAAATATGGTTCATCCAAGCACTTTGGACATCGCGATATAATCAATTTTACGAAGTCATGGGTTACGAAAGAAAATTACACTATAAATGCACTTTAAAAAATTTTCTCAATAAAAAAAAAATTTTGTTAAAATCCTTTATAAAAGGTATATAAAAATGCCTCAAACGGGCTATCACAAACACATTGCAAAACGTTTTTATTGAAAAAATATTATCATTAAGAGAAGGATGAGAATTTAAATAATAATGAAGAAGTAAGTTTGATATTATCAAACTTACTTCTTCATTATTATTTAAATTCTCATCCTTCTCTTATCACCTACTAATCATCCTTAGCCCCCTCAAACTTTGTTCAATATATCCAACTCCTCACTTCTTTCTCTTCTTTCCTCACTTCTGTCTAGGCATCCAAACGTCAAATCTGACCTAATACCCAATATTCTCCATGCTCCTTCCCAACAAAATAATTTCAGAGCAGTTCATGCCACATTCTCTGCAAAAACAATTTTCATTAATATACACCATCACCCACTCAATCACATATCTTCACCTTTTCATACTGCGTTTTTCATTATCATTTATAACTTCTTTTCACTCATCCAATTTCCCTCAGGGTTTGGTTTTCGGGTCTCTGTGGTCCTCAGTCTTTTGTAGTTTTCCCATTCATCTTCACAATAACATTTAAACATCACACATCTTTAGTAAACTTGACAGATCCACCTTGAACACAATTACTCTTACATTTCCACATATTGTCACAATACACTCCATAAGCCTGTTAACTTTTCACCTACCTACACTCTAACTTATAACTCATCCTTTTTACTTTTATATTTCTTAGGTACCAAATGTTCCTTTTAACATATAGGGCCTTTTGTTTTCTTGAGTTATAACTCGAGCAATGTAGGAACAATATCACACCTAACCATCTTTCAGCTATCAATTTCCTTTCAGTCTGGCATACTTGCCCACACACATAAACAACCTACCATCTTTACTTTACACATATAACCAGTAATTCATGTTTACTTACTTATAACTTAAAAATCTATTTTTATTTATCTTTACTAGGCACCAAATGTAGTTTTTTGACATAAAGGGCCTTCCATGCTTAAGTTTTAAGTTGAGTACTACATGAACACCATATTATGATCGCATTCTTGTCATATTTACATTTCAGCTCAATAACAGATCTAAACACACCTCCACCCATTACATCAATACTCAATAATATATCTTTTAGGACCCATCTTCCCACATGTGTCTTTTTACCATTTTCTAGGTACCAAATGTCTCACAACATACAGGGCCTTTTGACAAAATCTCTAGCTTAAAATAAATATATCCTTACAAATGTATAGTTGGTTGCCTATCAATCCTACAAAATTTCATAAATTCTAGTTGACCTACATTAATTTTTAAAAAACCAATTTTCAATGTTACAAATATACCTATCTGATTAATTTACAATACAGATTACAATATTGATGGTTGATACTGTTACATTATTATAATTTTAACTTTTTTAATTTTAAATAAGGATGACATCTGTCAATTTTAGACAACTACCGTAAGTTACACTGACTGCTCTGACACAACATCCGTTCTAACTTGTCAACAATGTCATTTTGATCAGTTGTTATCAACAGGTCCTCGTAGGCACTTCGTCTCAGGACCATTTTACTCATGTAGAGTCATACGCCGCCATGTTACCTATCCAACGGTAACTTAACCATCACAAATTAGAAATACTAATAATGTAAAACAATTTCAAATTTATAACATTTAAAGGGTTTTTACCCATATATTTTGGTGGCTACTAGCATGTACAACCGTAAGTATTAATCACATTTTGCTCTAACCTTTGTCAACATTTTCATTTAACGTTCTTTTTAATTAAAGTGGTTATATACTTTCAGGTTTGCACTGATGATGGATTGTTTAATCCGAAAACGTTTTGCAATGTGTTTGTGATAGCCCGTTTGAGGCATTTTTATATACCTTTTATAAAGGATTTTAACAAAATTTTTTTGTGATATATGGTATACAGCCAGCTACAGGAACTTAGTTTCCTCGTGGAATTTTCTCAATACGTACTTGGACGCGAAAACCATAAATGAAACTAATGTAAATTTCAGTTATTTATACAGCTACTTATTCCTTAAAGCTTTACCCACACTTTCGCCCATTTTCGATTTCGGAAAAACTCATCCCACTAAAAGTATTGATGTATGTTTCATTTTGTTTGTATATTAGGGCTGTTACTTGTTTATCTTTATCAGGTTTCCTAAAACCTCTTAATAAAAGAATAGGTACTCCCAAAACGATTTAAAGAAACAAGTTTTACTACTCAGGGAATTTGAATGAACAATTTGGAAAAAAGATCGACACATTCAAAAATGATTGGCAAGTTATTATACTTTTTTTTTGAAAAAATATGTTTATGCAAATATGCTAGATATGCAAAATTCTTCCCTCTACTTATAAGGAATATGTAATGTTAAATTATTTTCATTTATTTCAGGAGAGTTCACATTACCCAAGCCACATTAGATTATTTAGGAGGAGAATACGAAGTTGAACCTGGTAACGGCACATCTAGAAACCAATATCTCCGAGATCACTGCGTCACCACATACTTCATAGTACCACCAGCTAGACGAAGAAAGGTATTTTTTAAATTCAGATTGTGGAGAATGCGTTTTACACAAAAACACGAGTATATTTTCACTTTAACTGTTATGTTTAAGTACTTTAAAAGAGTAACATACTATTTGGCGTTTTACTGATACCAATTTATTTTTTCATGTCCAAAATTTACATTGTTCTTTAGACCAGTACATGTTCAAGAGTTTCGATATTTTTAACCGTACAGGCGGCCCTAGTTCTATTATTATATTGGTCTATGCTTCTAGTCTCCGTGAACAACAGCATGGAATTTTTCAATGTAAACATTGCGAAAATCAGTGTACTTAAACAGAATGTTCTTCACTAAAACCACCTATACATTCATAATTTATATAAATAATGGCCATTTGCTTTCATACCTGTTACAGTTTATCCCGAATGTTCTACATTATCATCTAGGGTTTTATTTATTTCATGTTGATTGATGAGTTTTATTAACATCTTTCATTATTTTTTAAACAAATTTTCTTGTGGCCAGTATGAGCAACATTTACCTTCACTCTAGTTTTTTTTTTATTTCTGTCGTGTTTATTAAATATGTATTTTTGACTAAAGTATTTAAATAATAATTAGAACATATTTTTTACCTAATTCCATACCATTTTTATTTCATACTGCTTTATAGATTATATACATTTTATGAAGAAAAATGCGTAAAGTAGAAATTACAACTACAAAAATCATCTTCTTATTTAAATAGATTTTAATAAAATCTACACAGTACTTTTCTTTTATATTAGTTTACGTAAAACGTCTGGTCATGTTCACCACCTGGTGTTCCCCATGCGAAACTTCTTTATTATGTTCCTAATTAAACTGCTTTTTATATAGGTCAGACCTCTGAATTGTGGAACTAAAGTATCAAAGGGCATAAATTTGTTCCAGTCCGCAATTTTGCCTCGACATTTCTAAAGCTTAATTTGCATAATTTTCGACTGAATGTTTTGACATCGTAATCGCCATTTTTAGCCGTAATGACAGTGCTGGAATCTGATGTAAATTATGAAGAGGAATTCAGGGTTGGACTGATTTGGCAGTTAAATGATGGGTGTTAAGGGAAAATTATAATCTGTGTTGTTAAGTATATTAGTCGTATATAAACTACTGGTATTAAATGCATTAAGTAAATTAGGGGAATAAAACGTAAATGGGTGTTTAAAATAGATCCTAATTTATATAGGAAATAGATAATTGAACAGTGTAACTGGTAGTTAAAATATTATCAGTAGAAACATATCTGTTGTATCATCCAGATTTATGTTGAAAAAAGGGTATTCAAAACCTAGAAAATTGCATATTGGCAAAGTGTCTGTCCTTAATAATTGTTTTTTTATATGCAGCTCATAGGTTTTAATTTCAGTATTACATGATTCAATACTAAAGCTAAGAAATTTAACATGAAAATATTGCCACAAATCTAGTTAGTATCAAAAAACCCAATAAGCTACAAACTTGAGATCGAACTCTGAATTGGGATGGTTGAATAAGTAATAAAATGTAAATGCCTAAAAATTATGTTATCAAGTAACAACAATATTGTAAAATAAGGGAGGACACAGGTGATAAAGGAGGCAAAACGGCTATATGCTTTAAGGACAAAATATCGAGAAACAAACAACTGAAATTAAAAACAAAAAGATGCGACTACAATTTCTGTAATTCAGCCTACTCCCAAAAAGTTACTATAAATCTCATCAGATTCTTCCTTTTTTATGTCGACATTTACTTTCCTGGTCACTAGATACTACAATCGTTTTTAGCCGTGTGTCGTATTAAAATGAAGCAACCTATATATAATTAAAAATAAAATCCGGTATTTTTGTTCGTATTTTATTAAATTTCAGTTCAAATTTTCAACTTTTTTTTCTTCGTCGTTTTTTCTTCTATCTTCTTATTAGGTGATTCTGCGTGTTTCTGCCTTAGATTGTGATTTCAGGTTATATTATCCATCCATCTTTTCCATGGTCGGTCAGCACATCTTCCCTCTCTATTCAAGTCTGACCCCCTGAGGGAGTGTAGTGGTTATCGTGGTGTCGTATATTGTCCGTCTTCAATGATCTCTGTATCTGGTTATTTCTTTTAACTCAAGCATAGCTCTTTTGCATACTCGTGATGCTGTAATTTGATCGATCCATCTTGTTGGGGATCTTCCTCGTGATCTTCGGCTTTCTACCCTTCCTTGGATAATAAGTCCTTCCATGTTTTCTATGTTTGCTCTCATAACATGTCTAAAGTATTTGAATTGTTGGAGATGGACTTTGATGGATAGTCTTTTAGCTCATTTGCCGTCATTTAGTCGTTTGCTTGCTTTTAGATCATTTAAAATTATAATTTTTATCCCGTGGTAGGTCCACGGAATTCGCAACATTGTTCTCTAACAGAACATTTTAGTGGCATATATCTTTCTTCTTTCTACTTCTCGTAAGGTCTAAGATTCACATTCGTATTAGAGTATTAAGAATATTAAGCAGTTGATCAACCTCATTTTTAGAGTTTGTGAAATTTGAGAGTCCTTCTATATTTCGGACATATTTTCTACGGCGACTTTTGTTAGATCACATCTGTGTTTTATTTCTTCCTGTAGTGATCCTATGTTTGTGATGAATGATCCCAGATATAAATATGGGGTCACAACCTCAAACCAGTCAATCGTGGTTATGTGTGGATGACTGATATGTAGTCTATTCACTATCACGATCTTTGTCTTGGATATGTTTAACTGCAGACTAAATATTTGACTTTCGATTTCAACCAGTCGTATGAGATAAATTAACTCTTTGTGACTAGTTGCAAGAAGGTCTGTGTCGTCTGCAAAACGTAGATTGTTTATTTTTCGGCCATTTATTGAGGTGCCCTTTTCCTTTATGAGCACTTTGACTATTCCCGTAGTGTGTTGTGGTACAGTAAGTGCTGTGGTACGTCTACTTCTTTTAGTATCTACCATAAGTGTTGCTGGGTTCCTATGTGGCCTTCAACGGCCCAAGTTATGGCTTTAAAGTCTTTTGTTATGTACCGTATTTTTTTAAATAAATCTCTTGGCATATGTTTTGATCGGTGCTCTCAATTTCTTTGCCTCTAGTGTAATAGTATTATTGTTGATCAGCCTGGAATCTTCGTTTTATTTCGTTGTTGAAGTCTTTATAGCTATGGTTTGTTAGAACAGTGAGCCACGCATAACTCACAGTCAGTAGAACGCCGCATAGATAATGCTAGTGTACGTCGATGGTGTGCGCTGGAATCAACTGCGATTTGATTTGGACGCAAACGTTCAGCTGAGCTGACAGCGTACACATCTATACCGAAATTATAATTGTATTTTTATATAGTTATTAATATTGTAATAATTAAGTGATGTCTACCAAATTTTCTCCCGATGAAGATGAACGACTAGTGGATCTAGTACAAATTGTAAGTCAGTTCCAAATAAATCCCTGGAAAGTCTAAAATATTCTCGAAATTTTTCCTCGTTTTGAAACAATCTTTCTTCGACTGTTAATTTAAAAACACTTTCTGTATTAAGACATGAAAAACTGCTGTGAGTCGAGTACAACAGATTCTGCTGAGCGCTGCTCACTGCTCTAACAAATCGTAGCTTTAAACTGGCCTCTTCTCTTTTACTATGTACACCACTTTATCAAATATTTCTTCTATTCTCAATGATTTTAAGGATTTCATCTACTATCCAGTGTTTTTGTTTTACAGTATTATTTACCTTTGGATGATTAATTGGTGTTGTTACATAATTTTTAATAGTCTCCCATATTTCTTATGATGTACCCTTACCAATATACTTTTTTTATACTTACTTGTGCACTTCTTGGAGAATATCATCCTTCTTTCGTAGTTCGATCCTCGTTGTCTCTCTCTCTCTCTCTCTCTCTTTCTCTCTCTCTCTCTCTTTCAGTCGCATTAAGTTTGAGCTTTACTATAGCTACGAGGAGAGTATGATCTGATCGACTCTGGGTATAATCTGACTATTTGGATTGATGATCTGCATCGAATACATGGAGTTTAAATCAAGTATTCATAATAGAACAGTTATTTATGATAGCATACTCGATTAACTGGTCTCCTCTTTTATTTCTCTGACCTATGCCAGACTTTCCTAGTAAATTCTTAGGTCGTGATCCTGTGTAGTGTTGCCGACTTTTACATTAAAGTTACCGCAGTCGTTAGCTCTATATTTGTAGTGTTAGTAATTGTTTTAAATTTTTCGTAGAGTTCCTCGACTGTTGTATGATAATGGTGTTGTATGGTTGTATGGTACTATGTTGTCAATTTGTGTGGTATTGAGTTTATGTGATTTGTCTTCCAGTTTCAGAACTATCCGATACACTTCTTCTACTCAACGGCAATTTGTCTTTTACTATCTTTACTATCCTATCGTCTATCATTTGGCTTATAATATCCATTCTGCCTTCCTCTTCAGTATCTCCTCCCCTGTTTTTTCCAATTTGCATGCTGTTCTGATCTCGTCTTCTTTTTTGAAGATATATATATTCTTTATGGACATATTCTCTATATATAAAAATCACGATTAAATAAAGAAAAACAATTTGAACTTCACTCGTAGAAAAGACAAACAAGTTTTAAAAGAATTGAAAATGCGAGGCAGTTCTAGTTTCATTCAGGCGTAGGTAATGGCAATAAAAGTTTTTAAAGTCTTATTAAAGTTTCTCATTGCATAAATCTGAACTTCCGGAGCTGCAAGTGAATTATGATCGAAGAAAAAATTTAATGACTTCGTATACTTTTAAATACTTTTAAAAGTACGATCGAAAGTTAATTATTAAAAACATACCGATTAATATTTTTTAGAAAATAAATAGGATTTAAATTGTTTGAGTTATGCATCAGTAATATACCATATCCACCGCTTGATACCAACTTTTAATGTAGAGTGTGATATATTTAACCAATTTTTTTAACAAGTCTGGACAGATCTAAAGTAAATATCGAAGAAGTGCCAATTAAGAATAAG